GGCTCCCTGCTCAGTGGGGAGTCTGCTTCTCCCTCTGACCCTCTTCCCTCTCGTGCTCTCTATCTCTCATTCTCTCTCTCAAATAAATAAATAAAATCTTAAAAAAAGGGATTTTATTGATTTAACAGACAGAAAGACAGAGAGAGAGAGAGAGAGAGAGAGAGCGCACAAGCAGGGGGAGCAGGAGAGGGAGAAGCAGGCTCCCCGCTGAGCAGGTAGCCCCAACCCAGGACCCTGGGATCATGACCTGAGCCAAAGGCAGATCCTTAACTGACTAAGCTACCCAGGCATCCCTGTTTGTTTATATTTAAAACTTTTACACTTTTTATGTCTTATTCCTGCCACTGTATGATGAAACTTTTGGCTTCCCATTTTGTAAGAGGAGGGTAAGCCCTATTGTTTTCCTCAGTTGTCCCTTCCTACCTCCCAACTTGTAGTATCTGGTTTACTTTCATATTCTCAGGACTGATCATATTTACTTTATATTTTGTAACTGTAACACTTTCTGTGCTTGGTCTATGTTGACTCTGAAAGCTCAAAATCAACAGAGAGCATTTACATTCTTATGACTAAATAGTGGCCTTCCTCAGCAGGAGGCTGCTATTAGACTAACTGGGACGGAGTGGGCCAGAAGAAATCACAGTCATCTCAAAACTATTCATCCTTGGCCTTTATGAAGACTGAGGCAGCATAATGTCAAAGCAAAAACTCTGAAGTTAGGTTGGAATTCCAGCTCTGTCACTCTCTAGTTGTGTGATTTTCAACAAGTCATTTAAATTCTTTGTTTAAATTTCCTTCAGCATGCATTCACTTATTAAGAGACAGGACTGGTGGCTGATTGAAAGAACACAAAAGATACAAAGAAAATCCTTGCCATCAGGGAAGAGAAAGAGGAAAGCAGGCTACTGTTGACGCAGGGGATTATGGAAAAGGAGAGAGGATAGCAATAGAGGCAAGTATTAAGAGTCTTAGTAACTGGACTTCTCATTCCAACCCTTACTGCTATGCTGCTCTGTATCCAGTTCCAACTTTTATAATACCAACTTCTCTATGTTTTGAGGAACAAAATTTGGTACAGTGTTAATGGCTTTCCATTGTACTTGGGATAAACTGCTAATTCCTTACCATAGCCTATAAGACCTTATAAGATGTGGTTCTTGGGTCAAGATTTTTACATAAAATAAACCCATAGTAGCTTAGTCAAATAGGGGTTTCTTTTCCTTATTAGTCCAGAAGCAGTCTATGTAGGACAGGTGCAATGGTGCAACTATTTGAGGAAGTAAAAAAACAAAACAAAACAAAACCAACAAACCCTCAGATTCCTTCTTGTACCCTATCCTGACATCCATGTGTGTGGCTTTTGTCATTAGGATCTCAAGATGGCGTCTCCTTCTCTAGGAAATGTGCCCTCCTTTCAAGCAGGAATACAAGAGTGAGGGGAAACTGCAAAAGGTTAATACTTCCTGCTAAATCAGCCAGTCTCTTTTGCCCAGGAAAATAAGGGCCTTCCCAGAAAACCCACACAGTAGACTACCACGTCCATCTCATTGGCCAGGAAAGGGTCCTGTGGCCCCCTTAGCTGCAGGGAGCATAGGGGGTAAGTTTTTACCTGGACACATTTCATTCTTTCTTGTTTTTTTTAAAGATTTTTTTTTTAAAAAAGCTTTTATTTATTTTTCAAGAGAGAGAGAGAACGTGAGTGGGGCCAGGCAGAGAGAGCTGGAGAAGCAGGCTCCCCGCTGAGTAGGAAACCCGATGTGGGGCTCGATCCCAGGACTCTGGGATCAAGACCTGAGCAGAAGGCAGATGCTTAACCGACTGAGCCAGCCAGGCGCCCCAGCTGGATACATTTCTACATATGACATGGAAGAAGGGAGAACGAATAAATGGGTATTGGGTAACAGAGAGTTGTGCCCACCATACTGGCCACCTCTCCGGCTTCATTGCAGATCACACTTTCTGGTTTACTACTATGCTTTAGCACATTGACCTTTCTGTTCCTTGCTTATAGCCAAACTCTTTTCTACCTTAGCGATTTTGTACTTACAGTCCTCTCTGCTTGGAGTGCTCTTTCCCCAGCTTTTCCAGTGCCTGGTAGCTTCATATCCTTAAGTATTTCTCAAGAGTGATCTCGTCGGAGAAGTCTTTGCTGACACGCTTCTCCTGTAATACAGTTACTCCGGTTTCACTTATTCTTTTATGTAGCAAGTTGTCTACTTCCTTCATAGCATTTTTCCTAATATGCAATTCCTAGTTTGTTTATTTATACTTCATTCACCTCCCCCAGAAAGTAAGTTTCATGAGAGCAGGACCTTGTCTGTCTTGCTCATGACTTTATTCCTGGCACTTAGCGCAGTGCTTGGTAAATAGTAAGTAATCCATAAATATTTGCTAGGTAATGAAATGAATAGAACAAAGGTGAAACAGTTGGAATTATTAATCACTCTTAGTTTTAGTATACCTAAAATCAATTCCGGCAATCACATACATGGCTTTCCTATCGAAAAATATTCATTATTCGGCATCTTTTGCCTGTTTCACCAACTATTTTGAGAAGCCCTTAAAGTTGGTATGTGGTTACTAAGTAAAAAATTAAATAAAAAATATAAGCCCTCACTTCTCTCTACTTAAGTTCTAACGATATCCCTTTCATTTGGAATGTGGATAAACGGATGGTAGTATAAAACAGTAAATATTTGAGATGGCATTTCGGTTCTGCCCAAGAGTGGGCTATAGCACATGCTCACAACACTCTAGTAGATCTAGGAGATGTCCCTGAAGGGTGGAACCCTGGAAACCCTCTGTCTGAGCTAATTGTGATAGAGTCCTAGTACCGAGGAGTTGGTTTTGTTTGCAGAGTTGTGCAGTTCTTTGAGCTAAGTCCATTCCAATCTCTCTTTAAGGAATGTAGAGTTAGAAAACTGGAGCTCGAGGAACTTTCTATGAGAATGCCTTTCTCTCTCCCGTTCCTGGTCAAACGTTTTGTGGCTCACTGCCTTACTTCTCTTCTTCCTAATGACTGATTTGTCAGCACACTTCAGAGGAACTAAGCATTTTAAACAGAGCCTGCCTAATTATATTTCCAGTTTAAGCAGAGGTTATTGGCTGTCAACAATGGGGGCAAAGTTTATTTGACCAGAGGAAGCCAAATCCAGAAATTTATTTTTTTAATGATAGTACTTTACTGTATGGAAGAACTGCCAAAAATAAACAGACCTGGATACTAGGTAAAGTGGTAAGGACACATTTTATTCAGTAATACTGTTGTGTGAATGAACTCAACCTCCCTGAAACAGAAGGCTGGAGACTTTTTAAAGCCTTTAGTGTGCTAAGGGAAAGGCACTGAGGGGTGTCAAGGGGGTGAGTTGGTGCTTCACGTGGGTAGGCCATCTGGGTTTGTTAACTGGTCCCTGTCAGAGAAGAAACTTCTATCTTTATGACAAGAGGCAGCAGTCCAACTTAAAGAAAGATGTCCATTCAAGTGAGGCCCACAAGGACTGGGAGATAGAATGGAGTTATCTCCCTGAATGATTGCATTTCAAAGTGAGGGGCTCTCAGGTCTTCGAGGATCGTTCTGGATAGATTTTTAGCACAAAGGGCAGAGAAAGGATTTATAATTGCAAACTTTTGAAAGAAACTGCTCTAAGAGAGGGATGTAGGTACTATCTCCCTATCACGAGGCTTTGCCTGGAACAGTCAATTCTCCTGCATTGTTAGCTTTTCCACCAAAGCATTTTAACCGGGTCTCTGGTTATTCTAGGGACAAGGCCTTAAACTGCCAGAAGCCATACTAGTTTTGTCAAGTCTCTTAGTGTAGAGGTTGTGATGGAGCTGCTATATGCCAAAAGTTGTGCATTCTCCAGTCTTCAGAACAATACTTGTCAAAATTTGATTGATCTGGCTTTTGAGACAAAGTTTTATAATGTCTGTGTCTCTACCACACCATTGAAAGCAGTGGACTTCGTACTTAAATGTTTGCCACATTACTAAGATAATGAATATAAAAAACTGAAAGCCAGATTACAAACGGTTTTGTTCATTCTGAATTACCAATCTTCAGTCTGGGGGTTTAGCTAATTTTTGCCCCTTGTTTTGTCTTGGGTTTTGCTCTGTATTCCTGCTCCGAGCTGCGCTTCCGGCTCACAGCTGGTTTGCTCCTCCACTGGTTTGCCAAGGCCACATCCGGCAAAGCTTTGTCAAATTGAACAGCTACAGTGAACAGCCTGGTAAAAGAAGAAGAGAAAAGTCTTAAATGCGTTGCAAATCTCTAAAGTACCTCCTTTTCCTGCAACCACTCGTTCAGATAGGATTAGGACGCCCACTGTTCACTACCTGAGGCGCCTGTAACTCCTTCCTGCCGAGAAAAACAGAAACAGGTACACGACTTTCTCTCAATCCCTTTTCTTTCTTTGCCCATTTCCCCCCCCTTCCAACTCCCCATCTTCTTGCTCTTCCTCCTTTTCTTCGGGCGCTTTCTCCGTCTAGTTCGCACCACTCCACACCAAGTACGCCTGCGCACACTGGAAGGTCGAAAAACGTGAACGCTGCGAAGCCGGCGCTGTGTTTGCTTTACGGCGCGGCTGTAAAGCGCTGTCACGGACGTGTGAGGCCACGGGGTCCGCGTCGCTGTTCTGAGGCAGCAGGCGCTGGTACCGTCCGCGTCGCTCGCAGATCTGGTTCCCTTCGTCTCACTGGCGCGAGCGGGGGATTATCTGGGGAGAGTTCCCGGTCTTGTGTGTTTCTGTGAAAGACGTAGATACTCCTTCCCCGGAACGGGAGGGCGGTCCGTCCTAGTGCCCGCTAGATAACCTGGGGCTGTGGGCGGACCGAGGCTGTGGCCCCGGCTAAGCGTGACCTCGCTCCGCGAAGCCGCCCGCGGGCAGCTGATGGCCGAACGCATCCTGGGAAAGACTGTAGCCACAGTGTCTCTCTCTGTGGCCTTGGCCTCTGTGACTGTCAAGTCCTCAGGCTGTTGCAGCATTCCGGCGTGCAGGTATTTCCTGGTGCTGCCTTCTGAGTCC